TCTCAAGCCTGCGCAAAGTCAATTACTCGTTCATTCTTTTCTTCTGGACATCTTGCCAGACCTTTTCTCAAGCCTGCGCAAAGTCAATTACTCATCCATCCTTACGCTCATGGTATCATTTTCTTTTTGCACGCTTTTTCTTCGGTAGATTGCACACCTTTCCCCCACTCAAAATGCGATGTCCCCATCGCACGACTACTTCTCACTCGGAGATACGTAACCTTTGGCCCACCAATGAGTAGGCGAATGCCGGCCCATCAGCCCCAAAAAGAAAGGGTGATCAGTCCTCCCCCTGCTGATAACTCACCTCATCCCCTTACTCCGTCCGACCTTTTGCTGCACACGAGACGGGCATCATTACTGAGGTACCTCCTCATATCTGGAAGGCAGGTCCAGTCCAAACCTCCCAGGACCCCGTCTTGCCGTAAAGGCTTCCTCGCAAATCGTTCCTCCCGAGTGGTAATTTTCTGGATCCGGCCTCTTCCTTTCAAGAGAGTTTGGGCTCTCAATTAGTCCACGAGTGCAGTTACGAAGACCTCGCAATTAGTCCCGAAGCGGTTGTAATGCTCCGGCGGGGCGGTGTCAATGCCCGGTGGTGGTTGTGGCTTCCACCCGGCACCTCCACCATTTTTGTAGGGCCAAACCTCGGTAGACTTTCGAGCCTTAGTCGACCCCACTGCGGGTTCCAGTTGGCTCAGCCCGCCCACACTCATGCTCAGGGCGCGGGCCATTCGTCCCAAGGCCACCACCACCTAGTGCTTTGATATGGGTGGGGGTGGGCCATCACGCGAGAGAGCTTTGACATTGGGGATGTAGCTCAGCCCTCACACCGGGTGGCAGACTCGCTGGTCGTTCTGCAACGCTTATTTTTTTGCTTCTTTGTTATGTTTTCATGCAATTGTTCCTTCCAATACACATGCAGTCCAAGGGTTCTTTGAGTATTTCTCTTCTCTTGTGCGTAGGCTAAGCGTCATTCTTAGGCCACGCACCATTTCCCTAAGCATTGTGGCTATATGGCGTCATCGGGGTGCGGCGGCGCCGTCCTCTTCCTCGCCTCTACTCATCCATCGGGTCTCATAATTTTGCTTTCCTCCTTATTGAAGTAGGTCCCTTAGTCTTTTCGGGGTCCTCATATGCATGCACACACATCATCACAATTTCCTTGGTACGATTACACTCTCATTTACATTCCAAGTCTTCATACTCAAAAGTCATTCCCATGGTTTGGCTCTATGTCGAGGGTGCCATAGCCCCTTTGTCCCTCTTCCCTTTCACTCTTGGTGCCCAGTTCCTCTCGCCCCTATCCCGCTCAAGGCATTTCTAGCCATCACTCACCTGCACAATCCCACACAAGCAAGAAGATCCATACAATCCCCCGTTGGGGGTCAATACATAGCCCTTCCCACATGTCTATCTTTTCAAATCCTTTGGCTGCTCTTTGTTTCCTCTCGATGCTCAATCAGCCCATTCTCTTCTTATAGTCATGCAGTCGGGGAAATGGTTGAGTCAAACTGACGTCTCTCTTTAGTCTTTCCTCGCGCCTTGTGCATGCTGATCTTTTTGGTCATGGGCCTCCGCTCCGAGGCTCC